ATATACAGTCTATATTTACATGGTATATACGTCATGCATGTAGGTTTTATCTAAATGGAGAGGGTGTAAACAGCTAAAAGGTTGCGATAACACTGAATACATTGACAGTTATCTCTTCAAATAAATGGAAAATATTTCAATTCAAAGCTTATTCACTAGCAATTTCCTCATCCATCCTATATCAACATTTGTGTCTGGAGAAACCTTACTCAATTTAAAGCTCTGGTGAAACTCAGCTAGTGTAATATTCTAACGAAAATTTAAATGCTATCGAGACCCCGCAATGATAATGTCAAAATAATATCATTAAATTGCTATTTGTTACCAGTAAAAACTGTCATTAAACTATCAATCCAAACCCTGGGTAGATATTTTTAAGAAAATAATGTATAATAAAAATACTACTACTGTTAATTTACAACTCTTATTTAATCTTGGTTATTTTCAAGATAATAGCTTAACTTGTAGTGCAGAGCTGTACCTTCATTATTGCTTTGTCCTGCACCCGTGAAATGGGGAAACCAGGCTGGAGAATCCTAAGACACTTTCTCAGCAAACACCAGGATCAAACCCAATACATCCTGGTTAGTACAACAGTGCCTTACTGAGTCACTGTGGCTCATTCATTAAATGAACTGGTGGTCAAATCTTCAGTTCGTGTGAGCAATTAGTAGCCAACATAGTTTTTGGCATTGAATATCTACAGCATTTGTATAGGACACCCTATATTATTTCTATGGACACAGGGAATTGGTACACAAACTAAAACTTTCCTGAATTTAACATTTTCTCAAGGTGGCCCTTTTAGAGAGCCTAACAAGTCTGTCCTGTCTGGCTACAGTACTTATTTCGACAAACAAAATTGGATTCTTTTTCAGACTTTCAGAATGTACAAATATAAAGACTGACTAAAAGGCACTACACCGAAACAGACAGTATAATAATATCATGTTAATCAATACAAATATTTACTTAAAATTATCCAAATCACCATACAAATAGCAACACGAAATCAAATAGAAAACATTACTTACTTAATCATAAACATCTTTCTTAATGTTTCCTACTACCAAGAGCCTATTTACCAGTGAGTTGGTATGAATGACGAATAAGATTACTGTAAATAGTCTAATATTATATAAAGCTTCCTAAAGCAGCATTGATCTAACTTAGACGAATCTTATAGCGAAGCAACAGCTAAGAACAAAATCCCCTTTATTCCACTCCAGTTCAAAAATCAATAAACTTCAAGACATTTTCTTCATATTAAATAAGAATGTCTACTGTGGCAGGTGCCAAAGTTTGGTTTCCATGAAAAAAATGAAGAGTAAAATATTGAAGCAATGGAAATAATATTTTATCAATTCTCTGCATAAGAAAAGGAAAATCTATTAAAGATTACTGAATCAATATTCAACCAAACACAATTATTCAACACGTTCTGTCATTGTACAAATGACAAAAAATAGAGGAAATTTGTAGCACGCTTAGATTCACAGAAATAAATATGATAATAGAACTAAGTTAAAGTGATAGAGTACCAAATGAATTGATCGCTGATTATAAAAGAATTTCTAAATGATCCATTTGCTAGCTGAGGTAATTTTCGTTGTAACTTCTATAATACAATAAAAGAGAAAGACAGTTAAATTCAATTTACTTGTTTTTGTCCTTGCTGTGAATGTGAGCCTCAAGTGAATATTAAAGTATACCACACTATCTTTGGGTAATCTAGTACAACAAACACTAGGCCTTTGTTTAAAGTTGTCCTAATTTCCCTGAATTTGAATTGTATTTTTTTTCTTTTTGTAATCTTGAATAACATTTTTCAAAGAATAATATACAGTGACACAATGAAAATGCAGAGTTTTTCTAAATGGATGATTGCAGATCTCACTTGCAAAATGCACTTTAATCTTGAAATTCTGATTGAAATAACATCAGATCCCAACCATACAACCTATGGTCAGTACAACTCATACAGTTCAATGGACACCTGGGCACCGAGAGCATGCCATTGTGTTAATTCAAGAGGGCACGAGTACTGCTAGTGCCACTCAAGGGCGTGGATTTGTCATAACTTTTGGGGGAGACGGACGAACCCTTGAACCTTTCATTACCAAACCAAAATAATAATTACGAACAGTTTGCCAGTGCTATTTCGATGAAAGTTGTAACTAGGGGTAATATGATGACGATATAGTAAAATTGACTACCTACAATTAAGGAGGAAGATATCGTGAAGATCAGTAACTGTGGCGAGACCCAAGGCAGTGGTTAGATAGCCTTTAGAACGGGACATTCATGTGGATATAAACCTGAAAATCTGTCCTGTCGATCAAAATCAAGGGGGGGGGGGGAGACAGAGACCTATTCGTCCCCCTCTTCCGATTCGTCCCCCCCCCCCCCTAAATCCAAGCTCCTATGGTGCCACTGGAAGGAGCAATACAAACTGATGCAGAGAATGTCCCCACAAGAGGCTATTCAGAGGCTTATAAGCATGGCTTCTATGTGAATTGACTGGTATTTATTTTGTATAAGCTTCAGCTTTTGAAATTATCACTCTATTTATCTGTAATGATGGGTGTTGTATAAGAGACAATGCATGCTTATTGTTTATAGACCACCTATTATAATCAACTATAAGTTCACTAGCCGCCCCAATTTTGGTGTACATTCAGATGTCAACTACTAGGCTAGTAACCTTGTGCTCTGTAGCACTATAGTCTTTGAAATCTATGTCCAAATTATCAATCTATCTGTTTAAACCTGGGGCAGGTATTGGTCTTTGCAATTTATGTCCAAATTAGCAATCTATTTATTTAAACTGGGGCAAGTATTATATCATATATCCTTACTATTTGAGAATGTTATTTTGTAATTCAGAATTCTAGCCTATGCTGCACTAATTCCAATTTCCACAGCCCATCTAAGGAACGTAGGTAGTTGAATGTAGAGGGCACTGAGCTGTCCCAGGTTCTAATTGGGAAGAACGTCAGGATTTTTCAAGTCCAGTTCCCACTTGTCAGTGGTAGCACCTGCAGATATGCCAAGCAAAGAGTTCCATGGTCATTTAAGCCAAACCTAGTCATTTGGATGGGAACAAAAACCAAGGACCACCCATTTTCATATTCACATACACGTAAAAGAATCCTTGACAGTTAGAATTCAGTGAAGAGTAGACATAAATGCTGCTGTCAGGGACAAATTCTCCTCAAAAGCACTGCATACTAACCATAGAAAATTTGACCAGTTAGTCTCAAATTACCCTAAGCATTAAACCCCAATAATTCCCTCTCCACATCTCACCAATGAATGCATGACCATACCTTTGGTTTTTTACTTGATATAACAGTTCATACAGTATTAGACCAGATACCCCTCATTAACAGATCATGAAGATTTTAAAGAAATCACAGGTAATATATTATGTACCTATGTTTCTAATGACTCATTGAAATACTAGATTTTACACAAAGTTCTTTGTTTCTAAAACATGACAGATCCACTAGACACAAAGAAAACTTACTGAACTGTGATTCTGATTGCCCTTTATCAATAATTAATAGAACAAATACAGACATATTTATTTTAAGCATGCTTTGTCAACAGAATAAATAAGCTGAACAGATGCAAAGAATAAGCTGTAAATATAATACGAAATATGAGATGTCTCTAAATTAGCAAATTACAGTATGTTGAAATCTATTTTTTGCATTAATAATTCACAATTTATATACCCAATCCTGATTGATAAAACTGTTTAAAGTTAAATCAGATGTCACATAGTGACACTTTCCCAATCTCATTCTGATCATTTGGCATTTATAAGCCTAATCATGTAATACCAAGTATGAAAATAATATGAAGCTAACTTATAATTCATAATTATATAAGAATGTTTCCGAAATAAATGCATGTAAACTCCTTCAGTGCAATGTTAAATCTTAAATCTACAGATATATCATACTTTAAAACAAATAACTCCTTCAGTGCAACTTTAAATACAACAGAATACAGCCGGATTCTCAAATTAAATAATTACCGAACCAAAAGTTTGTTTGATTGACCTAACATTTGATTTCCAGTAAAAACTCATTCTTCAGATAAACATTAATTCATTCTTCAGATCAACATTAATTCATTAAAACAGATCCGATTAATTTACCGCCTAAAAAAGCAATATTAGACGCCAATTACAAGCATAAAAGTAATTCCACTTATGTCTAGTATATCACTTTACTGTAAGATCATCATGAATATAAATGTCCAACTAAAAAATACGAGATAGAGCATTCAGATAGTCCACTTACCAAGTTAGCCTTGTGACCATGAATAAATGTCTTCCGTGTGACCTAATGTTAAAATGAACATATGCCCAACGATGTGTCTGGCATTATCAGAAGTTTTGAGCGCCAATGGTGTCCTTAGTATTGATTATTTCTTGTAGCTATCAATTCCAGGGAATCTTGCTGTTAACACAAGTCTTATTGATGCCCCATCCTACTCCCCATCACACATCCAATTTACATTCCATCACATCAAATTTAGACTTCAATAACCACGAGTATGTCTAAGAAGGCAATTTTTTCCGCAACATTCGTAGCTGTCAGTTTTCTAATTTGGGTAATCAAAGAACCAGTGTTTTAGCGTAATTCACTTTCTAAGGGGATAGTCTTACAAACGGCTTAAATATCCAGAAGTGTTACACTTAAATGTCTTAATACAGGATCTGGCATAGAGAGTATTGAGAATTAGATGAATTCCAGTAGCTCTCAGCTAGAAGCAATAAATAAAACTCAATACACAACACTTCTGCTATCTGATAAAAGATACTTGCATACATGCAGTGCTTCAACTAAATTATCTGGGGAGATCTAGCTGCCACTGGAAGGGAATGTCATGTCTATTCTGTCACTACTGGTAATGTCTGTTTTAATGATAGCTAAATGCATCAGTCTATTTTAAAGCCTGTATTATTCATGCAGTATCATACTTACTAATGTATCCTTGTGTATTCGATTCACACAGACTTGTATCATTTGGTGTTCGACCAAACATGGCTGAATAGATAGCTATCCTTGTTGACCTTTTGCACCATAAATTCATCACCTCATCTTCACATACTGATTCACTTGTAAATTCATCTGAAAAACAACATAAATTTTTGTCTTACTCATTAACAAATTAACCTGTTTCTCAACTACCTTGAAACAAAATTAAATTCACCTTTAGTAAATGCTGCAGACGGCATTTTGTCCATATATATACAATTGATAATAAAACAATCATTGTCTGAAATAATGATGCAAATAAGAAGCATAACGAAACTAAGACAATTTAAATCTGTCATTTTAACCAATAGTTCCGATATCACAATAATAAAAAATTAAGCATTTTTTTAAGAAGAGAAGTCCAAGGACTAATAATGATGTGTGATTTGAATTGCCTTCAACTGGTTGCTTACTATCATATGGAAAACAGATTAACCACTATTTATTTTATTTCAGTTTTCTCTTTGAAGCTAATTCTGATCACGTTTTAACACATTCAGCTGTGAATACATATCGTAAATGACTTTTGACCTGCATGTTTTCCTGTCCATACTTTGGATGGAATGAAGACAACAAGAGCTGTTTGATGGTCAGAAAGGTAGAACAACATTTGCTGGTGAACGTTAGATACACTTGGTATCATTTACAACCTTAAATCAGATGTATTTATATAGCACTGATATACCTGAAATATATGTTCGGTATTTACTGGAAAATGTAAAGTGAAGACGAAGAATTTATGTGTCTGTCTTTGATTTTCTAAGACAAGATAGCAGATGTTTTCTCTCCCTTCATTAACTTCCTGATAGCTAGACAAAGATTTATTTTCATATCAAATTATTTATAATAAGCTTATGAACATCACTGTCTACTACAGGAGAAAGGCGGGTGTTTAGACAATTCCAATTATATCACGCTTGTTGAAAATAATCACCACCGATAAGCATCTTGTTGGTTATATTAAATGGGAGAGTTGGGGTCTAACGGTCAGTTATTAATCAATAAAGATGTTAACCTTTCTTTCATTCCTCAATTACTGACAATAAGTAGTTCTCAAATCCTAATAACTTAGGACTGCTTCCTCGGATGTTTGCAAATGTCAAAGGATTTATTATGCATTAAATATATAAGCATAAACGATAAATTATTCTAGATAAAAAAAAGCACATATATATGCAACATTTATGTTTCTGGATACAAGAGTTGAATATTCGGAGTTATTTGTCTGTATTAAAAACTTTGAAAGTTTGATAATGAGACTGCCAGATTCAATTTATCAGGAATGCAATGTATTTTGTGGGACATATTCATTTGTAAAAAAAAATTCACTATTACTATAAACACAATCATGCGTCAATAAACTGTATGGTTGTGTGGTACATTTTGTAACAAATGCTAACGAATATATATTAGAATTTTTTTCTCAATTGAACTCTATCCTAAACAAACATTATGCTAGAGCTAAATCTGCCTATTGCAGGTCTTTCTTAAGGCCTGAAATGTTATCTAAATTATTAATTAGAAATTAGTTAACTTATCTAGACCATAAACAACTCGCAATGTCATCGCTAGCCTGCGATATTTACTGGATTAGGATACGATCTGCTGCTCTACGCTCATTCACGATTAAATCAAGAAATGGATAATCGAGACTATGTATTTTATCGTACTGACTTTAGTAATGATGATCGAGGTTAGGTCCAAAATTCAATTGCTAAATTCTTGGTTCAGAGTGGATCAATTTGCCTGAAATTTTCAGCAAATTCCATTTACATTATCTAGTTTTAACTATTATAGTGAAAACTGCCAGCTCTTAATATGAATACAACCAAGCCGGTCTAAACTAAAGGAGATGAATAGGACTTGAACTTCAATAAGTGCTACAAGGACATACACTTGGAATCCCAAAAGACTGCAAAGCCATCACCTTTCCAGCAGAAGGAACCGACTTGGCACTTTTGGGGGCTGGTGACTATGGATGCTTTCAGTGTTTAGACTAAATTTTGGATTCTAGTTGAAGTGATGAATCCAGGTCTCATCCATGGTTACAAATTTAGCCAAACAAGCCAACAGTGAGGCTGATGTCCCCCGCCGAAATTGCAAAATAAATAGACGACACATATTAATTAATCGCACATTGATTTTTTTCACTAAATTTCATCAATCTCTATCAGATAGAATCAAGATTATCTTGTCCCAAACCATCGACAAATGAAATCGATCATCTCTGCATAGCTTTAGCTCAAAATGTTAATTATTGAACTCAGTTAAGACATTCACCTAATCAACATCTACATTAAGTTTAAACATTCACCTAATAGACACCTACGCCAAGTTTGAACATTCTACCTCAATTAATAGGAGAGTTATTGTGTTCCAAAGTCTCGACCAATCAATTTGCTTATCACTCTGCTTACCCTCAGCAAAAAATGTTCATTATCGAACTTAGTCAAGGTATTGATATAATAAAGCTATACACCAAGTGTCCTCACTCTCACTTAATTAGAACTAAAGTTATCGTGTCCCAAAGCATCAAACAATCAAACTGCTTGTCTCTGCTTACCCTAAGCAGAAAATTCTCATCTTCAATTTCCATCAAGGCATTCACCTAATTGACACCTACGCAAAGTGTGAACATTCTAACTCAATTAGAAGGAGAGTTATGGTGTTCCAAAGTCAGGACCAATCAAATTGTTTATTACTCTGCTTACCCTGAGCAGAAAATTCTCATTATTGAACTTAGTCAAGGTATTGATGTAATGAAACTATACACCAAGTTTCATCACTCTCACTTAATTAAAACTAAAGTTATCGTGTCCCAAAGCATCAACCAATCTTATTGCTTATCTCTGCTTACCCTAAGCAGAAAATGCTCATCTTCGAACTCCATCAAGGCATTGACCTAATAAACACCTACACCAAGTTTGAACATTTTAGCTCAATTAGAAAGAGAGTTATTGTGTTCCAAAATCTCGGCCAATGAAAAAGCTTATTGCCCTGCTTACCCTGAGCAGAAAATGCTCATTGTCGAACTTAGTCAAGGTATTGATGTAATAAAACTATACACCAACTTTCATCACTCTCACTTAAATAGAACTAAGTTATCGTGTCCCAAAGCATCAACCAATCAAATTGCTTATCTCTGCTTACCCTAAGCAGAAAATGCTCATCTTTGAATTCCATCAAGGCATTGACCTAATAAACACCTACACCAAGTTTGAACATTCTAGCTCAATTAGAAGGTGAGTTATTGTGTTCCAAAGTCTCGACCAATCAAATTGCTTATCTCTGCTTACCCTATGCAGAAAATGCTCATCTTCAAACTCCATTAAGGCATTGACCTAATAAACACCTACACCTAGCTCATTTAGAAGGAGAGTTACTGTGTCCCAAATGTGCGACGGACATTCGACAGACGGATGGACAGGCAGGCAGACAGACAGACAGATAGGGGAGAATTAACAAAGAATTCAATCAAATAATAAGTATCAGAACTTTAGAATTAGAGAGATTGGTTATGGGCTCTTCGTTTTGATGATTAAAATGGCTTTCTGTGGTAATTGATGGTATACTAATCTAATCGCATTATCAAATTAAGTCAGAAATTTATTTTCTTTTTAAATATACATACCCATGAAAGCATTTATAAAGATAGGTTGCCAAGCAACGAAACATACGCCCACAGCAGCTATATCGTCCGGGCAGTCAACAAGAGTTGTCGCATATTTTTACTTTTTTTGGTAATGAAACATTTATAATACATTAAAATCTGATTAAGAGTAACAAGTCATTAAGTAATTATCAGAAAACCATTAGAATTTGTTTGGTTTTTATAAAGTTCTGTCCCATGCTAACGTTTAGTATACAAAACTTTTAACATCATGGATTTAGCTGTTTCAAGTCATAAAGATTCATTGAAAATCAATATACTTGTTCGTCTCAAGTATCAATCTGAAGTCAATCGGATGATAACTTTAGCCTCTAAAGCGTCACAAGATTTTTCAAAGTGATCAAGGGCCATAACTCTGGCAGTAATTATTGGAAATCGCTGAAAATCAATAGGCTTCTTCGTCTCATGACCTTAAACATTGTGTATAAATTTAAAGTCAATCGGATTTTAACTGTGACCTCTAGAGCATCCACTACATTTTTTGAAGTGATCAAGAGCCATAACTCAGCAGTAATTATTGAAAATCGTTGAAAATCAATAGGATTGTTCGACTCATGACCTTAAATACTATGTATAAATTTAAAGTCAACCGGATATCGGAAATCGCTGAAAATCAACAGGCTTCTTCGTCTCATGAACTTAAACACTGTGTACCAATTTAAAGTCAATCAGATATTAACTTTAGTCTCTAGAGCGTCCACAAGCAATTGTGGACGCCGGACCGACGGGGGCGACAACAATATACGACCACATTTCAATGTGGGCGTATAAAAAGTATGGCATATTTGGTATATATGGAATGCAGTGACATTCGATCTTACTAGAAAAATACTGGATTTCATGAAAAACACCCACAGGACAAAAATGCAAGGTTATCACTCACTAACTGGCAGTAATAACTGCTTCTTATGTGTTGATCTAATAGCCAACAGTTGTAAGAACATTGAGAGACTTATATGTCCAGTAGGCTCTGTGAGGTTGGTAGAGGTTAATCCAAGAATTTGCTTAGGCTTTAATATTTATGGAAAATGGAAATGAAATGAAATGGGATTTAATGTTCTACTGATCTGCACTAACTAGGCTAATAAAGATGGATATTGCAAATGGACAGAGACTAAATGACAAATAAAAGCTGAAAAGGCATTCTCTCTCAATCACTTGAATAACAAGGCTTCTTAAAATAGATTCTAGCAACATGAGGTAGTTTTCTTGGGGTCAAAATGTTTTGAGAGGGGTTTGAATCAAACTTTTGATAGTTGAAATAGTTTGAATATGTTTTTAGTCCATATATATCATCCAGTCACAGAGTTGTACGCAGGAAGGTATCTTTAAAATAAGATGTAGTAATTCATGTGAAAAGTTAACTCACGAATACCTCAAACCAAATTTTAGTCACTCTCTAGACTCTAGCATATTGAGGGGG